TGAGCCCCGGCAGAGGGGCGGGCTGGCGGGGAGCCTCCTGGGAGACCTGCACTACACCCGGGAGGTGAGGCAGCGTGCCCCGGGACGGCCCCAGCGGCCAGGGCCTCGCCCGCCCTCACCCCCCCCCCTCCCGCTGCTCTCCCCAACCCCCCCGCCTCTCGCTGCTCTCCCCAGGGGGTCCCCGTGCTCATCGTGGGCCACCACATCCTCTACGGGAAGGTGGTGCAGCTGGAGAAGCCCTTCGCCGTCCTGGTGAAGCGGGGAGCCGGCGAGCCCGGCCTGGAGGAGCCGCACGCCCGCTACACCGTCACCGCCCTCATCAAAACCAAACTCCTCTTCAAAACCCGCCCCAAGCCCATCATCACCAACGTGCCCAAGAAAGTGTGAGGACTCGGGGCGGCGGGCGTGAGCTCCGATCTGGGGCCAGGCAGCCCTGGGTGCTGCGGCCGGGGCTGAAGGAGATCCAGATCTGGCCCCGGCCTCATCCCTTTGCTGTACGGAGGACTCCTGGGGCCACCTCGGGGTGCTGAGTCCTGCGTCCGGGCACCCAGAGCCCTTCCCGGGTCACTTGTCCCCCCCATAATGACTCCGTTTCTGAGAGCTGCCGAGCTCTGGGGCACAAACCCGGCTGCCGCCTCAGGTGAGGCGGGTCCTGGGGGGCAGGGACCTCCTCCGAGCCCAGGCAGGGCTGTCCTCCCCGCACATCGCCTTTTCTCTGTGCAAGTCTTTATTTTTGACAAATCCATCAGGATATAAAAACAGACTTTTTCAAAATATGAAAAAAACCCCGCAGGTTAAAAAATAAATAGATTTACAAACAATTAGCAATAAGTATGAATACCATAAAGCTACAAAAGTCTTCTAAAAAACCTCGTATTAAATTAAACAAAACTGTCTAAATGCTCGATTGTAGAAACATTTTTAAGCCCTGAAAAAAAGAGGGCCCGGGGAGACAGCCGGGGGAAATCCCCGGGGAGGGGAAAGGTTGGGAACCGGCTCTTCCCCGCCCTCCTCTGCATGGCCCGAGCCCAAAACCCAGCGTCTCCCCGCTGTCTAGACACCAGGAAGGCAGCAGGGTTGGTACGATGGGGCCATGGCTTGGCTTGGTGATGCTCCGGCCAAGCCACGGCCCAGGTTTCCCCCGCTTCTGTGTGCCGGGATCCCCCAACTTGGCTCTTTGGCAAAGCTGAA